AATGTCTTCCAAGAAATTCCGGAGCCATTCAGCTTCTTCATCGACTTTATCTAAGGCTATGAATTCAGCCTCCATTGTGGAGCGGGCAATACATGTTTGTTTGGACGACTTCCAAGATACCGCTCCTCCACCAATAGTGAATACATATCCACTCGTGGACTTAGAATCAGTTGAACCGGTGATCCAATTNATACTATATTCAAACTTGCTATTGAGCATACGTTTAGTAGCATTTATGTTGGCAATGTCATTACTCATTATCAGCATANAAATTTATTATAGTGCAAGTCAAAGTTCTGGGTATGTTCTAAATATCCCAAAACTCGTTTCATTGCCATCCAATGAGATTGGCCTGGATTGCTCGTATATCGACTCAGTTTACTTATAGCACAAGCTATGTCTGGTCGTGTACAATTCATGATATACATTAAGCATCCCAATACACGAGCATAATCCAATTGTGATATGCTTTGGCCTTTGTTCTTTGCTAATGCAAGATTCACGTCAATTGGAGTCTTTGCAACTTTAAAGCCCAAGTGCTTGAATTTTTCAAGTACTGTCTTAATATAATGAGATTGTGACAATGCCAGACCTTGAGGAGTCTTATTGATCTTAATTCCCAGAATTAAATCAGCAACTCCCAAGTCTTTCATATCAAACTTGCTATTGAGCATACGCTTAGTAGCATTTATGTTGGCAATGTCATTACTCATTATCAACATATCATCCACATATAGGCAAACAATGACTATGTGATTTGGAACATTTTTAATGTACACGCATTTATCACATTCATTTATCTTAAAACCATTTGACAACATTGTTTGGTCAAATTTCGCATGCCATTGTTTGGGTGCTTGTTTTAGTCCGTAAAGAGACTTAACAAGTCTACATACCTTCTTTTCTTTACCTGGAACCACAAACCCTTCAGGTTGTTCCATGTAAATTTCTTCCTCCAACTCTCCATTTAAGAAGGCCGTCTTAACATCCATTTGATGAATTTCAAGACCATACACTGCAGCTAATGCTACTAACATCCGTATGGACGTAATTCTTGTAACTGGAGAGTATGTATCAAAGTAGTCTAGACCTTCTCGTTGTCTATACCCTTTGACTACTGAGTCTTGCCTTGAATTTATCAATAGTGCCATCATCTTTGATTTTCTCTTAAAAATCCATTTAGAACCCAAAGGTTTATTTCCAGGAGGAAGATCAACCAATTCCCAGGTATGGTTGTTCAATATGGATTCTATTTCACTATTGACTGCCTCTTTCCAAAACAATGATTCCGAAGAAGTCATAGCTTCTTTAAATGTTTGAGGCTCATTCTCCAATAAGAAAGTCACAAAATCTGGTCCAAATGAAGTAGACGTTCTTTGACGTTTACTACGTCTTGGATTCTCCTGATTACATGTACTTTCTTTTGTTTCTTCCCGAGGTCGTTTAGATCCTTCACCAAACGACTCACATTCCTTTTTNTTCCGAAGAAGTCATAACTTCTTTAAATGTTTGAGGCTCATTCTCCATCCATAATTTGTATAATGTATACAGTGGCGTGGAGACGTCAAAAGAATTGTGGAATGCGCTTGAAAAGAAATATAAAACTGAAGATGTCGGGATGAAGAAATTCGTTGCCGCAAAATTCAAAATAAAGGTATATTTGTGACTTCTTCGGAATCATTTAAATACACGTGACACACCATCCAAAATAAGGGTATATTTAAATGTAAGTGCGGTAAAAGATGATTGATTAAATTCCACAAAGTGTTAGGCAAATGATCAAGCCTCTTATGATTGATGTACACTTTCGTGTTATTTGAGCTCATCTTACCACCAATGCAGAAGATAACTATAAAAGGCAACCAAAATAATTGAAAGAACATAACTGCATTACAGACCTTTGAATATTTTGTTCACATATCATTTATATTCTCATTGAGTTTCTTTTAGTACCGCCGATTGGAACCAAATTGACATAAAACAGTCAATGAAAAGAAGCATGTGCAAAATCAGTTTAAAAGAATAGCTAAAGAACTCAAGAAATTCCACAATTGCCTTCAATAAAATTCATTTTTTTCTATTGGGGCCAGTCGTCAAGGAGAACGATGGAGAAAGGCAAAATCTCTAGAACAATACCTCATTGCAGACCGCCCTGATCTCTAAAACATCACGACCTCTCAAAGAATTTCCTTTGAAGCAATCTGAAGAGAACCAAGAAATTCGAACATGGATAAGTAGAATCAATTAAGAAAAGAGCTAAAGAACAGGTAGTTCTAGAATAGCCATCATAAATTTCTATACCATTCGAAGAGGGCAGAGGTAAAATTTCAGGAAAAAAAAAATCAGAAGCCAGGAAGAAGAGGATGTAAGAGGGTAATGAAAAAATGAGATAAACGATAATTAAAGGGGTTCAGACTCAGATTAAAAATAACAAAAGTTATGATTAAATATTAAAAATTTTAAAACTTTTAAAAAATCACTCTCATTCAAATTATTTCAAATTTTCATTTCACTCTTCTTTTTCTCTTTATTTCTTCTTCTGCTTCTTTCTTCTTTCTTCTTTTTTCTTTCTTTACTTCTTCTTCACCTTCTTTCTTCTTTCTTCTTTCTCTTCCTCATTCTCTCATTCTTCTCCTTACTTTTTTCTATTTCTTCAACTTTTGTTGTTGCTGTCGCTAGTTCGTCCATGCCATCTTCTTCTTTCTTCATTTTATTTTTTCCCTCTTCATCTCATTTTCATCTTATTCTTTTTTTTCTATTTTTTTCTTTTCTTCTAGTGATTTAAAATATACGAGAAAAAAAATATATAAAATTTTACAAAGTAAGTATTTTGTAAAATACCCTCGAGATATTTTGAGACATCTCTATGAATGAGTATTCTGCTGAAACATCCACGGGGATGTTTGAAACATCTCCAGATTGTTTGAAACATCCATCGGGATATTTCTTCTGCTTTTTTTTTTCTAGTGTTATTCTCATTGATCTTTTTTTCACAAATGTTTCAAACGTTCCCACAGATATATGCAGATGTTTGAAACATTTGAATAGATATTTGAAATATTTCTCTAGATAATTGAAATATCTTTCCTAAATGTTTGAGAATTAAGAATGGCGGGGATAAAGAAGAACGTTGCGGGATGGAGGAACAAGGGGAGGAGGAGGAGTGGCGGGAAGAGAAGGAGGGGAGGAGTGGGAGGAGGAATAGAGAGTGGAGGAGGATGAGACTTTTTTATAAATAAGAAACCTTTGAGAATTTTAAAAATAGTATCATTAATCCTAATCACAGATCTTTTACTCCATTCTTAATACTTTTATCTTAAAAAATGATATAAGTTTTGAAGTGTCTTAAAAACTTAATTCCCCGCACAAGAGAGGGAGAAAGAGCGCAATGGGAAACTACAATTCTAGAAATATGAATACGAAGAAAGAAGAGAAGATTCAAAACACTGTGTCGTTCAAAAAGTATACGTGCTGAACACCAATTTGGATAAAACAGCCCTCCTTATGCACCGTACAAAAGCTCCATGTTGGTATGTAATGACGATAGTATTATAATCTTTTCTAATTATTTACTTTTCCATTGACCGTGGCTGATTTTCTAACCAGATATACCATATATCCATTTTGTTGAAATATTAAGGTTGCAGTCTGAAAGCAGATGATAAGATGTTGACCAATTTACCAACAATATAGTAAATAGTGAAATTATTAAAAAAGTATTCCCTTAAATCTTTTGGTTAGTTACAGATATAATGTACTCCTGTCAGTTTTATACGTTAATAGTTACATTTCGTATTTAATGTTTGTCCCTTCGTCCTGCTTTTTCGTATAATTCTTTTTCATTATGGTTCAAATTGCACCAGAAAATGGCACAGAGACTTGGTATACGTGCAATTACTCTCTCATTAAAAGAGAGAGAGAAAAATGAAGATGAGCAATAAAACTTGCTAACAAATTTTACAAAGAAGAAGCCAAAGCCATCAAGTCAAACCGAACCGACGAACCAAGTTAAATCGAAGAAAAAAACCGACTTGTAGTTTGGTTTGGTTGGTTTGGTGTTGGAAAATAAAAAACCGATCATTCTTGGTTTGGTTTGGTATTAACAAAAAAAAAAGTCAAACCGAATCTAAATTAAACCGACATAATATATATATAAATTTATACATAAAAAATAATCATTAAAATCTAATTTGTAAGTATTTTCTAAATTATTTTATAGTTTTCAATGTCTTGAGATATTATTTATTTGTGGGCTTGTAAATTCACTATCCACTTAATAGATTCTAATTACACAACCTAAATTTGAAGCCCAAACTAAAACCCAATAAGAAAAGATAATAATATAGGTTATTCCTTGTCTTCATTCTTCTGTATCTTTCTTATCTTCCAACTCCAAAGTCAAAAAACCCCAAATAGTGAAAACCCTTCCATCCACTTCACGACGAGCTTCCTTCTTTACAATTTCGAGCCACTGTCCAAGTTTGTAATTACATATTAGTCTTATTGCTCCAACACAATTTGGTAAGCTAAAGTATTTGATTAAACCAATTATGTTATTTTGTCCCTTTAAATTTGGGTATAATTGTTATCTTAAATTGTTGGTCCTGAAATTTGATGTTACGAGTTGTGTTCTTTCAATCCAATATTGCACTTACATTTGTAATGAAATCACTGCTTAATGTTAAAGGTTCTCTAAGAAGGAATGCAAGCTTCAAGACTATCTAGAAGAAATTAAGAAATTTGAGCAAGTTGAAGAAGGTAATTTTATATATTTAATTTGTAATGAATTTGATTCTATCTTTATATTGTTTAACATGTAACTGTTTTTTTTTTCTTCAGAATGTCCAGGTGACCCTTTGAGTATTGATTAGTTTAGAACTTCAGTTAAACAAAATAGTGTCAACCTATTCATGGTGCTTGGCTGCTTGCTGCTTATTTCTAACTTTTGTCTTGGCCAACTTTAATTAACTTAATATTTTTTGTGGAACTACAAATTGGGTTGGAGCTTTTGGTTTATCACATGTTTGTTGTCATTTTCTATTATGGAAGGTCTCAGAATTATGATTCATACGAACAATTGCTATTCCTCATATATTATTTTAATGAATAGTAATCATGCGGACAATTGGTGATTATTTGATCTCTTTTTCAAGCATAATATAACTAAAAAGAAAAACTGAAAATAAACCGAAAAATCGAGGAAACCGAAAAAAACGACAAAAACCGAAATCGAAAAAACCGAGTTTATGTTGGTTTGATTTGATTATAAATTTAGTAAACCGACATAGTTGGTTTGGTTTTGGTTTAATAAAAAACAGAACCAAACCGCCTCACGTACACCCCTACGTGGAACAATAAGTGGCCCCAGTGAACAGGATAGTGTAAGATAGAACTGCTATTAGCCCTCTCATTTGTGATTTAATTACCGCAATACCCTTCCTCGCACCAAAAACTCTTACTTATTACGTATAATATAGTTAATAAATATACGTGAATATTTTATATTAGCGTTGAGTTTTATGTTTGCAATCAAACATTGTATTAATTAAGCGAAGTTATCTATATTTATATTATTATAAATATAATATTAATTTACAACAATAATCTTATAATATTAAGCATAATAACTCATAAAAAATAGACATAATCAAAATTTTAAATATTAGTCTTTTAATCCTATTAATTTTAGAACATAATACTACACGTTAGGAATCCTCATGATTACTTTTAGGAATCCTATTAGTATAATTACTTTCAGGGTGTCTAATTCATTTAAAATTGAATAATTAAATATCTTTAATCCTATTACTTTTAGGATATACCTTTTAAAAATTTCTATTACTAATTTAATTTGAAAATATATTATAATGTCCTATTACTAATTTAATTTGAGAATGTATTATATTGTCCAAATCCATTTAAAAATTGAGAGCCTATATTATTATAAAAGCATAAATACAATACTAATATATCAAAATAGCTCTAAAATATTAAACGAAAGAACTCATAGGGAAAGGACATAACTGCAATAACATATTGGACTACAATACCTTCTATGCTAATTTTAAATATTTAAGATTTTAAAATTAATAAAATTTTGTCTATTAAATTCTTATTAAAAATATTTAGGAAGGTTTAATAAAATAAATTTCACAAGAATCCTCTGTATTGGCAATACATTACCACTTCATAATGTCCAATACCAAGAAAAAATAAAAGTAATATTAAATGGACTGCATAAAGAGTTAAAATTGAGGGGAAAAAATACTCCCACGATAATATATTTTTATATTATATTTGAACTATTCTCCTACTCAAATAATATTTTTTATCAATTTTTCGTGTAATATTAAAAAAAATACCTAATTATTAAATAATAACTACGAAAATATTTAAGAATATAAATGTGTGAGAAAGAGAAAAATAATGGTTAGTAAGACTCAATATCACTAATGATTCTACAAACATAAAGATCTAAAAATGAAATGTCATATCAGTTTTTTACTCTTTGAATATAAAATTTATGGTGGATAAAATTATAATTAAGATTAAATATTCAAAACAAGAGATGAACTAATATTAAGATCTGAATCAACATAGAATAAATTATTTTTTATGTTAAAATTAAATAATTAAATCTTTTAATTAATTATTTAGCAAGAGAATCCAATTCAATTATTTTTTAAATTCATCATAAGAGTAAACTTCTTATTCTAGTTTAAAAAAATCTTAGGGTGCATAAATTTATTCCATAAAAAGAGCGTTAGAACACAAAGTAAAAATGTTAGTATATTATTAAGAATCAAAATGCTATACAAGTGTCTGAGAAAGCACAATCAAAGCTAAATCCTAAACAAGAACAAGCTTTCAAGACTATATTATAAAGAGTCGACTCTGTTATAACAGGATTATTCTTTGTAGATGCCTCCGGCGGAATCGAAATAATATTTCTATGTCATGCATTACTTGCAAATATCATATCAAGAGGCATGCCACTGTTAGCAATAATAGCAAGCGGTGTACCAATAATAATTTTATTGTGAGGCCACCCACTTTAGATTTGATATACCTCTTCAAACAACTTAAATAACCACCACAAATATATCAAAGCAGATCAATGGTGCTAAATTTATAAGGAAAGCAAAATTGATAATATGGGATTACACACTTATGGCTAAGTGTCAAACGGAGTTCTACAGATACATTGGATTCTAATTAACCATTTGGTGAAAAAATAATGGTTTGAGAGGTAATTTATGTCAAGTACTACCAATAGTTTCAAAATCGACAAAAGCAGAGACTGTAAAAGCTAGCTTGCCAAAGTTATACTTCTGGCCTCAAATGAAAAGATTCAGTATTCAGTGTCTTCTTGCTTCGCGTCGGAAACGAATAAGATCATCCAATAAAAGTTGATTTGGTTCTTCTTAAACACTTGGTTATCAATCGCAATGGTAATAGTAGTGCATTTAATAAGAGAAATATTTCTCTCACTAGATTAAAATGTAATTTGTGCAAATCACATGATAAAATTAAAAAGACATCTTAGCTAACAGAAATGAATATGTTGATCAATTCATTAAAAAGTTGATTGCAAAATTTTATAGTAAAAACAAAATGACTCAGCAGAAAGTGATACCAATAGTTATTATCAAGAAGAATACTTAAATATTTTAATACCAAACGGCCTTCTACCATACATGTTCGTTGTCAAGTTTATTGTTTCTTTTGTATGTTAGTGTTACCGTATATATAATAGACTAAGTTGATCTTTCATTTTATATAGATTGATTTTGAAGAAAAATATGTCTGTCATGCTACTGAAAAACATAAATACCCCGAATAGCTTATGTAATAGCACACAAATGGTATATAGAAGTTTTGACAATAACGCCATAAATGCAAAAATTATGGTACTGGTCAATATGTTTTAAGTATATTCTTATCCCTTAATTCAACTTTCTTCTTCCGAAACTAAGGAATATCCTTTTAAATTTGCGTGAAAATAATTTTTAGTATATTTATGTTTTGCAAATATAATAAATAAAACACAAGGATAAACATCCTAAATATTGGACTATATTTACCGTAATATATTTTCTTGCACGAATAATTATATTTTGCACTTTCAAGAGGGATATCAAGATCGACAACAAGAGTCTGGTTAAGGCAGAGCAACCAAAGCATTAGGAGGAAACATACACAAAAAAATATTGTCCACAAAGAAGTGTTCGTTAAGATACCACCACATTAAATACTTTTAACCTATAATACATAATTATCTATAAGCTCGTACTATGTATCCTTGAGTTCTAAGGAGATAGAAAGCCAAGTCTGGTTGATGAGAGGCATAGTTAATGGACCAGAGCATGATTAACAGCCCTAGGGCCCTTATGTCATGGTGCCGTAGATGATCGTTGCTTCAACAATAATGATACTAGGATGGTTTAATAGTTGTCTGACACACTCTTAAATTTTTCCTGTTTTCTGCTATAGTTTTATTTATTATGGGAAGTGAAGCCTTAGCGTAACTGATACTCATGTCATAGTGTCGTAGATGATCGTTCTCAGCTTCAACAATAATGATACTAGGATGGTTTAATGACTGTCCGACAGACTCTTAAATTTTTCCTGTTTTCTGCTATAGTTTTATTTGTTATGGGAAGTGAAGCTTTAGCGTAACCGATAAAGTTGTTGTCATGTGACTAGGAGGTCACGGATTCAAACCGTGAAAACAACTTCTTGCAAAAAATACAGGGTAAGAGTACATACAATAGATCCTTGTGGTCCGACCCTTTCCCATACCCCACGCGCGCATAGCGGGAGCTTAGTGTACCAGACTGACTTTTTTAGTTTTGTTTGTTATGGAGAATTAAAATGTAGGTACAGACTTCACGCAGAATCAATTTTTATCACGACCCAAAATCCATAAAGCTCGCGATGGCGCCAGACACCACTGTCAGGCAAGCCAACAATAATTACTTAATTGGGTTCTCATTTTATTATTTTTGAAATCATATTTTCCTTCAATTTAAATAGTAAAGAATGGGGATTTACAGAGTAAATAATAATACTTTTAACAAATTCAATACAGAACAACCCATAATCATCCCAAAAACCGGTGTCACAAGTGTATGAGCATTAACTAGGAATATAAAATAAAATACAGCAGATATCCGTAATACAAATTGGACAGGAAAAAAAATGTAAATACTCTGAAGGAGACTGTGCTGGTTGCGGGTCGACAAATAGAATGCAGCTCAATTTCTGACCGAAATTTCTGACCGAAAATAAAACGGTCGCTAATGGGACTACTTTTGCGAACGCAATAGTCGCAAAAAGATTGAATTTTTATTACTTTTTTTATTTTCGATCAGAAATTTCGGTCATAAAGCGCGCCAATTTTCCCGCTTTTATGTTTGCGATCGATTCAGTCGGAAAATAAAAAGTCAAAATTAAAATTAAAATGATAAAATAATATTTAAGTGGTTTTACGATTAGCGTAGTCAGAAACCTAAATCTAATATGTTAGGCCAAAACCCAATTTCGGGCCTATTTTCCCAATTTCTCTATTTCTCTCTCTCTCACTCTCGATTTCTTTAATTTGTGCCTATTTTTCCAATTTCTCTATTCCTCTCTCTCACTCTCGATTTCCTTTTTCTTGTTTAGTTTCTCTTCCATTTCAAGTGTGAGGCTGATTGTTCTTGGATCTCTCTTCCAATACACTTGTGCCATTGACTGCTCTCTCTCTCTCTCTCTCTCTCTCTCTCTGACTGACGGTAAGTCTTTTTTTCCTTTTTCTGTTTAATTTTTTCATCTTCAATTCTAAAAGATTTGAGCTTTCTTCAGGAAATGGGTAACTTTAATTTCATTAAAAGGCACAATTTTTATGTGTTTTAATATGTGTTTGTGTTGGAATCCAGGGTTCTTTTTTTTGTGTTTTCTTTTTGATTTTTATTTGGAGTTTGTTTTTTGAATTGGGTAATTCTAATTTTTCGAGAAAGGCAAAATATTTATG